CACAAAAAAATGAAATTGGGTTTTTTTTTTGCACTTGAAAAATTCAACTTAGACATAGGCAATTTCTGTTGATTAAGATTGTATAAAGATCACTATAGTTTATATTATGATATTAATGATATATTTATATTATGATATATTATGATATTAATGGGAAAAATGAATATGAATTGAGCATTTCAAAATGTAGCACTATTGAACATATAGTTATATAACTGTCTGTACAAGCAACCAGACCATGTTCTCATTTCTCAAGTTGCCAAACTGCACAAAAATACTTTTATTTATTTATTTGTTTGTTTGTTTGTTTGTTTGTTTGTTTTTACATCCCAATTATTGCCCACCTCCATCCTGATGCCCTGTCACCGAGTCCTTTCATCCATCCCTCCTCCCCTTCTCGTTTAAAGGGATAGGCTCCTCTGTGAATCCCCCGCCCCAATCTGGTGCTTTGAGATTAGGAGCATACTTTCCAACTGAGGCCAGACAGGGCAGCCCTGTTGGCAAGCAGATTCCATAGGCAGGCAACAGGTTTAGGGACAGCTACAGCTCTAGTTGTCTGTGACCCACATGAAGACCAATCTGCACATCTGGTACATATATTGCTGGGGCCTCGATCCAGCCTGTGAATGCTCTTTTGTTGGTGGCTCAGTCTCTGAGAGCTCCCAGGGGTCCAGCTTAGTTGACTCTACTCTTTTGGTCTTCCTGTGGAGTTATTATCCCCTTCAGAGTCTTCAATCCCTATCCCAATTCTTCCATAAGCATCCCTGACCTCCAGTCAATGTTTGGCTGTGAGTCTCTGCATCTGTTTCAGTCAACTGGTTAGAGCCTCTCAGAGAACAGTTATGCTAGGCTTCTGCTTGGAAGCACAACAGAGTATCATTAATAGGGTCAGGGATTATGGCTTGCTCATAGGATGTGTCTCAAGTTAAACTGGTTATTGGTTGGCCATTCCTTCAGTCTCTTTGCTCTTTGTCCTTGCATTGCTTTTAGATGGGATGGGGTGGGGGAAATCCTTACAAAATTCCAGCTACCTGGTATGGGGGAGGCTTTCTAGGAGTCAATTCAGGTGATCTTAGTCAAGATGCATAGCAGTATAGCTACAGAACCCAAAGAGGACATTTCCTGTAGACAGACAGGAACCCCCTGTGGAGGGATAAGGACACCAATCCATCCACAAAACTTTCGACCCCAAAATATCTTTTAAATTAAGGCAATTATCCACAAAGTCTTTTCTCAGTCCTTGTTCTGGTCGCAAAAGGAACATCATTGTCCACATCAAACATTTACAGAAATTATAGAAGATGCCAAACGAACTCGGCTATACAGTGATGATGGTCACTTCTCTTTGCAGTTTTCAATTAAACTTTAGGAAGCCTCTTAACACAATGAATCCTTAAACAAATATTTGTTAGTGAGATTACTTGATTGTTATAATAAATATGACCACACTACATGCTCTTGTTAAATTCTTGTGGCTCTGAAGACAAATAGCAGTTATGGGAAATTGGTGGTTTGACTTAGATACTGGGAAATGTGAAAAGTACAAATGCATTCTCTCTTTCTATCATTTTGCTTTTCTGTACACTGAATGAAAGTTTAGCACCTTGTGCTCAGTTCTTTAACACTGGCTGCATTCTACTTCCTACTCGCCGACTTCAAGGTATCTCCAATGCTGTGGAAGTTCTCAGGTTAAAGTATCTTTCAGTGATTATAATTGGTATTTCTATTCTCTCAGATTCCCTATGGCAGATTCTTCTGCAGCATGCTTCTGACCATGTGTCCAACCACTTTAGCAAGCTGAGTATTACAGGTACATAGACTTTAGGTAAAGTTCCCATGCATAAACTCTTTTTTAATTTCTTTCTGTAAGATGCTGTATATCCTGAAGATGTCCTTTTTTATGATTTAGTTATCTGAAAAAGGACCCAATATCAGAAAGTGTAACAGAATTTCAGGACCCTGTTCAAATAAGTACTATAATGAGTTCACAGTATACATGGCATTAATATCCATGAATCCTTTGCTTAGTTTATGATCTAAGTCTGTAGCACTTACTGTTCATCCTGTACAGAGACATTACTTATTACCCATCATTTCCAAACAATACATCCAGCTACTCGGTTCTGGTTGTTTCTATTTATTTTTTTTTGATAAGTTACACAAAAGCTCACTAACATTCACAAACGAAACTCACTTTTGTGAGTATACATGTATTATAAAATTGAAGATGTTGTAAGAGTGGCAACTCTAGACAGTCATAGGCTGAGGTACTAGGATTGTAGAAAGAACCTGTGGAGCTCCAGCTTATATTTAGAGGGACATCCATCTTCACAAAATAGAAATAAAACATTTACAATTATATTTGTTATAATTTTATAATATTAAGTCAAATATGTAGCTTTGTGATATTATCAGTTGTGGTGTGAATATGGAGACATAGGTTCATACCTATTGACCTTTAAGAAATTTGATCAATGCCATCCTATGTTGTGCTTTGCATAAATGCAATCATAACGTAAAAACTCATATTTTTTTAGATTTTTTTTTGGATGTATTTGATTTTTGTGACTACTTTGAGCTTTTATTTACATTGCTACAAAGGTCATCATTCTGTATTACCTGTGGCACTACACTTCCAACACACATGTATAGAGGTCATTTGTTAGAAAATTCTACTTGTAACATTTGTTCAACTACATTCATAGCAGCATTATCCATAATAGCCAATACACTGGAAATAACCTAGATGTCCCTCAACTGAAGAATGGATAAAGAAAATGTGGTACATATATACAATGGAATACTATTAAGCTATTAAAAAGAAAGACATCATGAATTTCACAGGTAACTTGATGAGTTTTCATGCCATCCTATGTTGTGCTTTGCATAAATGCAATCATAACGTAAGAACTTATATTTTTTAGGTGTTTTTTTGGATGTATTTGATCATGATGAGTTTTGCAGGCAAATAGATGGAACTGGAAAATATCATCCTGAGTGACGTAACTCAGACCCAAAAGGATATGCATGGTATGTACTCGCCAATAAATGAATATTAGACAAAAAAAAAAGGACAGAGTACCTAGTTTAATAAGCTGATGGGCCCAAGTAAGGATGCTTCAATCCCACTTGTGAAGGAGAAGACAGCAATCACTGGGAGGCGGGGGGGGGGGAAGAATCTTGGTGGGAAGAAGGAGGGGGAGGGGGAAATGGGAAGATGATCAGGTATTGGGGAAAAACAGAAGGGAAGCCCTAGAAAAAGAACATCATCCTAACTGAGGTGACACAGTCTCAAAAGGACATGCTTATAAATGGATACTAGCCATGAAATACAGGATATTAATGCTACATTCCAGAGATCCAAAGAAGCAAAAAAAGAAAGAAGATATAAGGGAGGATTCTTGAATTTCACTTAGAAGAAGGAATAAAATAGTCATAAAAAGGCACATGGAGGGAAGAACTGGGTGGGAGAGGGCATGGGGAAGTAAGTAAGGATAGGGTCAGAATCAGGTGTGGGGAAAGACAAGAGAGATGGCATCTCCAGGATGTGACAGACTCCAGGGATAAGGGAGGCACTCAAAAACCAATGGTGATGATTCTTGCTATGACTCAAAGCATTGGGGATATGGAACCTGAGGAGGCCACCTCTTGTAGCCAGGCAAGAACCCCAGGAAAACAAGAGGGATACCAACCCACCCACAAAATTTTCAGTCCAAAATATATCCTGTCTACAAGAAATGCAGGGTCAACAATTAGGCAGAAGCTGAAAGAATGGCCAACCAATAGCAAGCCCAACTTGAGACCATGAGCAAGCACCAATCCCTGACAGTATTCATTATATTCTGATATGCTTGCAGACAGAACTCTAGCACAATTGTCTTCTGAGAGGCTCCACTCAGCATCTGACCCAGAGAAATGCAGGCACCTATAGCCAAACAGTGGATGGAGCTTGAGGGACTCTTATTGAAGAGTAGGGGAAAGGACTGCTAGTTCTAAAGTGGATAGGAACTCCACAGGATGACTCCAACAGAGTCAACTAACCTGGGCCTTTGGAGCTCTCAGAGACTGGACCACCAACCAAGGTAGTGGCTTCTTCTGGTTTCCTTTTCCCATTGTTAGGCATCTCAGCTAAAGTCACTTGTATTGACTCCTGGGATCCTCCCCCATTCCAGGTTTCTGGGGCTTCCTAGAGATTCCCCCAATCCCCCCTGACTCCAGGCAGGTGCAGATTTCCATTCATTCTCCTATCCCTCTGGCTCTCTTTCCTGTTTCTCCCCACACCTGATCTTGATCCCCTCCCCAGATTCTTTCTTCCATCTCCCTCCTGTGACTATTTTATTTCCCCTTCTAAGTGAGATTCAACCATCCTTTCTTGGGCCCTCCTTCATTTTCAATTTCTTTGAGTCTCTGGAATGTATCATGGTTTTCCTGTACTATATGGATAATATCCACTCTCAGTGAGTACATACTATGCATGTCCTTTTGTGACAGTAACTTTTGTGAGGTGACTGTGTTACCATACACAGGATAATATTTATTTTCTAGTTTCCTCCATTTGCCTGCAAAATTTATAATGTCCTTGTTTGTAATATCTGAAGGGTATTCCATTTTGTAAATGAGCTACATTTTCTGTATTCATTTTTTGTTGAAGGACACCTGGGCTATTTATAGTTTCTGGCTATTACAAATAAAGCTTCTATGAACATTGTAGATCATGTGTCCTTCTGGTATGGTGGAACAGCTTTTGCGTATTTTCCCAGGAGTGGAAGAGCTGAGACATTAGGTAGAAGTATTTCCCATTTATTAATAATGATAAAATTATTTGGTCTGAAACAGTCTTGCTATGCTGCAGACTGCAGCTTTGTGATCTTGACTTCAAGTGATACTCTCACACACATATGCAAGCCTAGAAATGTTCAGTGAACTATTTAATTGAAACATGTTTTTTTGTTCTTGTTTATTTGTTTGTTTGCTTGCTTGGTGATTTAAGCGTTAAAGTGATGGATGACAAAATACAATCCAGGAACTTGGCAATAGGAATAGTCCTCTCACTTCAGAGTGCACTTGGAATTCTGGGAAACTTCTCTCTTCTTTTCCACTATCTACTCCTTTACTACAATGAAGGCACATTAAAGACTATAGACTTGATTCTTACACATGTGTTCACAGCCAACTCTTTGATCATTTTCTCCAAAGGAATGCTACAGATAACGGGAGCTTTTGAGTGGAATCAGTTCTTCAATGATATGGGATGCAAACTTATTTTATATATTCTCAGACTTGGCAGGAGTATGTCCACCAACACCACTTGTCTCATGAGTGTCTTCCAGGCTATAACCATCAGCCCCTGGAATTCCTGTTGGAAGGATCGCATGGTCAAAGTTCGACGGCTCATGGGCTTCTTCATTTCCCTCTGCTGGGTCCTACACATGATGGTGAATATGATTTTTCCTATGTACCCATCCATCAGAAGGAAGACCAAAAACATTACACAAAAAAGAAAATTTGAATTCTGTTCCTCTTTTCCAGGTCGTGATAATATAGTAGAATCACTATACATAGCATTTTGGGTGTTTCCAGAAGTCTTACTTTCTTTGGTCCTGGTTATTTCCAGCAGCTCCATGATTGTCATACTGTATGGACACAAGAAGCGGGTTCAACATATCCACAGTTGCCATGTTTCCCCCAGAAACTCATCTGAGTCCAGAGCCACCCAAAACATTCTAGTCCTGGTGTGCACATTTCTCACTTTTTATACCCTCTCTTCCATCTTACAAGGCTGCATTGCATTTTCTCATAATCCTAGTTGGTGGCTAGTTAATATCACAGCTATCATTTCTATGTGTTTTCCTACTTTATGCCCTTTTGTCATTAGCTATGATATCATTGCTTCCAAAATCTGTTTATCCTGGGTGAGGACTATAAAATTACTGTAATCTTTTAATAAGAATATTAGTAATTCAGAGTATCTGAGGATTTAGTCACTTGTATCCTTCTTTTCAGTGTAATAATTAAAGGGGAGATTATCTTAATATTATGGTCATTTCACAGATTAATATCAGTATATTCTTCTTTATAGACTATGTTCTATTTAGCCACAGGTTGTCAGCCACATTCACTGTGCTATTTATAGATTCCATTTCATTGAGGGTTCCTTTAAGCATATAATAATGAGGTTGGTTACTTCTGCCATATTTGTGCCACTGTTGCATAAATGGGCCTGTCTTGTCAGGCCACTCAGTTTTTAGTTCATAGAGTTAATAGCAGGATGATATCTATTCACTTTTTCTCCAATAGAAACCATACCACCTTCTAGCATGAAGAAAGCTAACCAGTATAGATACAGCTTACAAGTCAGTACCTGTTTGATTTCTTCATGTTTTATGACTCAAGGATTTTGCAGTACACATATGTACTCATAGTTATTTGTGACAGCATGCACAATAAACTGTGAACGTTGAAATCAAATAATATCCTAGCATGGGAGAAAGGGAAGAGAAAGACATGAAGTCCTAGCACTAAATGAAGTACTGTTGACCTTTGATAGGAGCTGGGAGAGAGAGTTAGTTTGCTTTAACAGTGTGGACACAGGTAGGCTGAGCACATTCGTGGTCAGCAATACAACTAAGAGTACTTGGGCAACACAAATTGAACTTAACAAGTTTTAAAAGAATTTGAAGGTTTGACGTAGGGATATGTGGATAGTTCTGAAAGAATTTGGATGGGGTGTTGAATATGATGAAGATATATTTTATGAAATTCTTAGTAAACTGATAAAAATGTAAAAATTTGTGGAGAGCCACTTGTCTTTCCAATGCAAACTCTAATACAGGTTTGGGTTTTCATCTGGCACATATAGGAGAAAAATAAGGGTGAATATAGCAGAGTGTTGTACTCTAAATAAGTAACTTGTTCAAAGAAATCTGAAGTAGTGTTCCTTGTTGTTAAGAAGATGGGTTAGATCTCAGTTCCTTAAATGGACTAAAAAGCAAGATGGCCAAGAAGATAGGGATGAGGATACTGATGTCTGTGAATATAGCAAATGCAGGTAACACATAAGAGATAGGAGGGGAAACAGAGACAAAGAGATAATGTCCCCCCACATACTGTGTGAAGGAATTGAATACATAAAAAGAAATAAGTTCCAAGGAAACAACTCTCTGTAGAAAATTTGAAGCAGTAGTGAACACTGTTAATATTGTTATAAAGCATTGTGCTGAGAGATCTTCAACTAAGAGCCTTGTTCTTCTAATCTGCAGTCAGGATCTCAGTGATCCTGGCAGGCATTCATCAATAAATTCTCTCTTGGTTGTCTTGAACTCCTCATAACTGTCCTATACATGCTGTGAGACATGGAGTAGCACTTCAACTTGTTGTTCCTGCCAGAACTCTTGATGACATATAGGAGGCTGCACCAACTGAAGGTTTGCAATTGCTTCCTATTGTAAAGCCCAAGCAACTTCATTTTTGAAGAAACTCCATTTTGTGACAGACCAGGGGCTAAAGTCCAATTTCAAGAAGAAAATCAGAGTCCTCCTGAGCAAGTACCCTATGGCAACCCCTCCTGCCTCCAGACCACCGCAATCTGCCGCTTATGCTACAATAGCAGGGTCAAGGTGCATAGGTATAGGTACAGGTACAGGTACAGGTACAGGTACAGGTACAGGTACAGGTACAGGTATAGGTATATTAAGACCTTCAGAGAATAGATAACTTAGCCATCCTGATTGTCAGGTGGTTTTGACCCTGTGTTTGGTTCCTGTAGATTAAGCCAGAAATGCAAAAACTATTAACTTGCTGACCCATATGGAAATTCCCCATGTTTACTGCAATCACAATAAAAATCCTGAAACTCTAGACACTAGGCTCTCACTATGACCCACTTCAATAGTGAGAGTCTGAAAGACCTTGCTCCTGAGCTCATAATAAAAAACCTTATGTGTTTTACATTGGAATTGGCTCCTCAATGGTCTTTGGTTACCGGCAACTTGGCCATAGCACTATGTAAGGTTTATGACTGACTAAAAAAGAATTAGGAGCCATGCTCATGCCTGGTTGTAACTAGTATAATATGCAATCTGTTTATTACAGGTAATATTTATTTGTGATAATGTGAGACTTCATTTTATTCTTTTATTAACCTAAAAAGTTACCCATCTTTGTTTACTGTCCTCACCTGTTTTTTTTTTTAGCATTAATCATACTAAAGGTTTAAAACCAATGATATATTCCTTCCTATGTTATTCTTCATGAGTTTGACAGGCAGTGTATCCTGCTTTTGTAGGACACAATAAAGTGGACATTCCAACCACAGTGCTACTCACAAGGTTGAAAGAGTGACTAGAAAAACTAACACAGCTGAGATTGGAAATGATAGGAAAAATCTAAGTCAACATCACAGAACTCTGGAAGAGCTCAATCCTGCTGCCCAGGGTTAATAGGAAATGTTCTATAAGTATCATGTGCTAGCTGACTGTGCTACTGGAGCAATCAAAAGCTGGAAAAACCACTTTATAAATCAATCTGGTGGTTCCTCAGAAAATTGGGAATACTTCTACCTGAAGACGCAGTTATACCACTACTGGCCATACACCTAAAAGTTGCTCCTACTTATAGCAAGAACACATGTTACACTATGTTTATAGCTGCCTTATTTATAATAGCCAGAAGAAACAACCCAGATGTCCCTCAACAGAAGAATGGATACAGAAAAGGTGATACATTTACACAATTACACTACACAGCTATTTTAAAAAAGGATTTCGTGAAATTTGCAGGCAAATGGATGGAAATAGAGAATACTGAGAGAGGTAACCCAGACAAAAAAGAACACACATAGTATGTACTCACTGAAAAGTAGATATTAGCCCAAAAGCTCGGAATACCCACAATACAACTCACAAATCATATGGAGCTTAAGAAGAAAAAACTGTGGATGCTTCAATCCTACATAGAAGGAGAAACAAAATAATCACAGGAAGTAGAGAAACAAAGGGACTTGAGAGGGAGAGAAGAAGGGGAGGGAAAAATGGAGGCAGGATCAGGTACTAAAAGGGACAGGAGAGAGGTACAAAGGGTCAGGAAATTGAATCAAAATATGTAGCAGTGGGGGATGGGGAACTGGGGATAACCTCTAGAAATTCCTAGATGCCAGGGAATTGAGAGGTTCCCAGCACCTGATGGGGATGAATTTAGCCAAAATAAATAACAAATAAGAAATAGAACCTGTAGAGACCACCTCCGGTAGATAGGCACAGCCCTAGTTGAGGGATGGGGCCACTCACCCATCTCAAATTTGTTAACCCAGAAATGTTCCTGTCCAAAGGAAAAAACATGGAACATGGAACAGAGACTGATGGAAAGGCCATCCAAAGACTGCCTTACCTAGGGGTCAATCCCATTTCCAGACACCAAACCCCGACACTATTGCTGATGCCAAGAAGTGCTTGCTGACAGTAGCCTGGTATAGCTGTTCCCTCAGAGATCGTACTAGCACCTGACCAATATAGATGCAACTCCTCACAGCCAACCATCAGACTGAGTCCAGGCACCCCAATGGAAAGAGCTGGGGAAGGACTGAAGGAGTGGAAGGGGATTGAAACCCCATAAAAAGAACAATATCAACGAACGGGACCACCCAGAGGTCCCAGAGACTAAGCCCCCAAACAAAGAGTATACGTGAAAGAATCCATGGATCCAGATACATATGTAGCAGAGGATCACCCCTCATTTGACATCAATGGGAGGGATGGCCCTTGGTCCTGTGGAGGCTTGACTCCCCAACAGAGGGGAATGCTAGAGCAGTGAGGTGGGAGTGCATGAGTGGATGGAGGAGCTCCCTCATAGAGGCAAAGGCAAGGGGGGAGGGAGGGTTTGTGGAGGGGTAATCATGAAGGGGGATATCTTTTGAAACGTAAATGAATAAAATGATTAATACTAATAATAATGACAATAATATAATAATAAAGAGGCAATGTTCTTATGGTCCTACCAAGAAATAATCTGTATTTTCCAGGTACATACTATCTCCCAAAACTTCAAGAACTTTCTTAATGGTGCCATCATTTGTGAACCTTGGATTGAACTGAAGCACTGACTATGTGGGGAGACTTTTATTCAAGCCATATCAGTAAAAGTAATTGAGCAAAGATGTGTTAAAGAGGAAGTAAAGACAATGAGCCCAGAAAAAAATAAAGGGATTGAAGAGAACAACAGCATGAGTATGAGTGACTTTTGTTGCTACGGTAAAATACCATGACTGAGCCAAGTTATGGAAGGTATTGTTTACTTAGGCTAATTACTCCAAAGGAAACATACATAACACAGGAAGTAGATAAAGCAGGGTAAGACATGTCAACAGATAAGGAGAAAAGGAGGCTGGGAGATCTCATTTGCATTCACACTGGAAACAAAATGAGTAAAATGTAAGTAGGATGGTAACTATAAACTCTAAAACCTGCTGATAGTAATATACTCCTTTTATAAAAGATCCACACCCATATATTTCGTAAACTCCACATAGAGTATTACCAACTAGGAACCAAGCAAACAAACACGTGCCAAAGGCTATGGTGAGTATTTATCAGCCAAATGACTAAGCTCCTTCTCTTGTTATCCATAGGTCCATGGACATCTTCTGATACAAAATGCATTCTGTAAAACATTAAAAGTCTCAATGTAATTCAAAATCCAACATCTAAATTTTCTTTTAAGATGCAAGGTGATTTTGTAGCTATGATTTCATATAATATCAGAAAATCATATTAATGCTTCTAAAACACAGATAGAGAATATGCATTTCAAGTCTAGCTGTAAGGAGAGTGGCATGGTGAGAAAATATTGTTTCAAAGAAAGAAAGATACTCAGCTTTCTAAAGCCTGTAGATCCATATATAGTGTCAGGAATTTAGGTTTAAGGGGTTTAGATCACTACCTAC